ACATAGCGTGGCAGCCAGCTTGCCCACAGAACTGGTTTGAAGGCCCACATGCCATTGTTTCCACAATACCCATACCCAGCTGGCTACACAGGTCGGCCTCATTCAGTGGAGGAAGGGACCGTCTTGGAGGGCCCAATATCCCACATCTGTGAGAGTTCAACCACAGCAGCCAAGACGCTGTGAAAACTGAATGGAAGGTGTTGATTTCAAGGACCTGGCCTTGTGCAGTTGTGGGGGCTGGTTAAGCTGTCCCCTAAGACCATCACCTTCCTTGGGTGCAGGCAGGCAGGTGTAAAGTGGGCAGTGCAGACAAGCTGGAGCCCGTGTCAGTCTGCCTGCAATAGGGAGGTGTGGGTGTGCTGCACGAGAACAGGAGCCCCATGTTGCAGAGTGGACACCCACCATGCCCAGGCCTCAGTGAAGCTGAAGGGGGAAGGGGGGACCTGGGCCAGCAAGTCAGCAGAAGATTGCACAGTGTCCACAGCACCCAGTGCCTCTGACCCAACCTTCTGAGCCTATGAACAATAGGGCTGCAGCTTCCTTTCTATTCTCCAAATATAATTCAAAGTGGCCCATCCTAAAAAAAAAATACAGGGAATTCTGGGATTCAGCCTATCCAGGCTGACAGCGTACAAACTGAGAGGGACTAGATGCTTGTGTCCACGCCCCAAATTCATATTTTGAAATCCTACCCCTCAAGGTGATGGTGTTAGGATGGGGACTTTGGGAGGTGGTTCGGTCATGGGGGCGGGGGGCCCTCTCATGAATGGGGCTGGTGGCCTTATTAAAGGGACCTGAGTCCCTTGAGCCTTCTGCCGTGTGAGTACAGTGAGAAGCCAGCTGTCACCGGATGCCGAGTCTGCCAGCACCATGCTCTTGGACTTCCAACCTCCGGAAGTGTCCGAAATAACTGTTGTTTATAAACCCCAGTCTGTGGTATTGTGGCAGTGCCTGAACAGGCTGAGGCAGAAAGCCACCCCTCTTCCAGCCTCTTCCTCTCCAGAACATCCAGGATCGGGGCCTGGGACTTTGGAACTTATTGGTGAAACGAATCAGAAGAGAACTCAAACCTCACTGTCTTTCCAGGTAAGAGAGTGAAGCCCATGGAGGCTATGACCAGTGTGTGGACAAGGACAGCTGCCAAGCTCAGGCCACCTCCCCCCAGGCCTGGTCTGGGTCTGCAGGCCAACCTGGCATCCAGCCGCGCTCATACTGACTGCAGCGGTTGCACATGGAGCTGCAGCTCTGCCGTCTCTCAGCTCTCTCACTATGGACGGGTCCTTCCACCCATTTGACCTCGCTATGAAATCTAGACAATGGTGATCACGACAGCAGGCACATTGTGGTCTTGGTGGGAGAACTGAGGTCATGCACAGGGTGCAAGGATCCCAGCAGACTCTACCATGTGTTTTGATTAAACTCAGAGCCCGAGATGGAACTCTTGCTTCAAGGACAGCCAGTCGGGCATCTCTTTGCTGGAGGCCAGGCACACACTAGCCAGCTGCCTTTTTGAGACCTCGCTGGTCACACTGACTCACTGTGGGTCTTCCCTGACTGCGCGCGGCCTTAGAGTCCTCCCCTTCTGCTGGCAGCAAGAGGCCCCTGAGCAATTTCCCCTGGCTGTGATGCCCTGGGGAACTTCCTTCTGAATGATAGCAAAGGTGCCCAGGTGGCTTTTCTGGTGGGCCTCACCTTGTGCCAGGCAGCAAGGGAGAAGAGCACTAAGGCAGACAGGCATAGCCAGTGGGCCCCCGGGCTGCTCCTCTTTCCTCCTGACCCCATGGGAACAGGCCTTAGGGCTGGCTGCTCAATGGAGTCACCTGAGAGCAAGTTTAAGCTTCAGAGTTTATTGTTTTTTTAAAAGGCCCCAGACCCATTAAATCAGAAATTCCAGGGTAGAGCCCAGGAATGAGAATTTGTCCAAAGCTCCCAAAAGCCATCCCCCAGGTTGAAAAGCACATCTAACAATTTGACTTGCAGCAATGTTGCTTAAAAACAAAGGCAACTGTGTCTGCCAGAACAGCAGAGCCTGAGCTATAAGGCACAGGCACAAAGGACACCCCATGGCCCATGCCATACAGGCTGTGCCCGTTCACCTGGCAAACGCCTCCTGCACAGGACAGGGTAACAATAGCTCAGGCCCTTCGAGAGTTATGGAGGGATCCCTTGTGTACAGAAGCTGCCTTTACGGTGCTGCACACTATAAATTCTGTCTAAGATCTCTCCCCACTACTGACCCGTGCACATGGGCACTTAACGGACTGATTATACCCTTAACTCCCAAATGCGTCTTTACCTCCCAGGTGAACTGTGCATAAACCCAGGGTGAGCAAGCAGCCCAGAGAGGCTGTCTGTGTGCTCGCCCTGGACACAGCAGCAAGCACAGTATGGAAGAGTTGATCTCAGGTTATTGCTGTTATAAACGGGACATCTCTGTGACCGTGAGCCATTGCCGATCCAGCCGTCCACCTGCCCCTCTTTGCTGCCAAGAGCTCCTTTCCCAGGTTTCTGTCCACCTGCCCCTCCTCTCACCCCCATCTCTGCCTACGGGTGAGCAGGCATTTCTGCTGGCCCAAACTTCACTATGTAACTGATCATCACCAATTGGCCCCAACTTCCAGTAAGGCTCCAAAGAGCTGGGAAGCAGGGCGAGCTGTGGGAAGGGACTGAATAAAACGAATCAAATGGCAGGCAAAACAGACTGTCTAGTACGTCATTCCTTAACTCTGTAATATGTTAACTCCTAACCCATGTCAGTTTTGTTTCCATTTTTAATCTGCCATCTTCTCTTAAAATTTAGGTTTTAGCAAAGACAACAGGGCTATTGTTCCAAATCCCAGCTATGAATTCAGAACATAAAGTCAAAGCTATGGCAAAAAATTATGGCCTGCCCAATTATTGGAAAATATAGTTTGGTACATTTTAGTTATAAAATTCATTTACAGGAGGTTCACATGTACTTACCAAATTTGCTCCTCCTAATACACAAAACATGTCACTAAGTAAACCATGCACAATAAATCCAAGTCAAATTCTCCACAAAGAAGTAAAACAACCTGTTATGTAGAATATATTCATGTTGCAGGAACTCATCCTGAAAGGCAGGGCGCTTCCTTCTACGCCATGGAAAGGACAAGGCCAAGAGCCCCATTTCTCGCTGTGCAGTCACATTAGCTACCAATGACAGCATGGCCACGCCAAGAGGCTACACTGCACATGTGAGATGCTTTATGTAAACGCTTTTATCAACTGAACAATGGTTTCAAATGTGATGTCAGGTCTGACTTTCCTGCTGGGACAAAGGCCTGCTCACTAGAAAGGATTATGTGGCTCGCCCATAATTTCGTCATCAGACTCAATGGATGGTGAACCAACAAGTGAACACGTGTGAAAACAGCATCACACTTACCTGGAAACACATTGGGTGTGGGTGTGGCAGCAATGTCTGCATCCTGGGGACACTTTTTCCTCAATTCAAGTGCCGGGTGAGCAGAGGGAGAAGTTCCCACCCCCAGCTGTTTGTAATGCCTCCTTTACAAGCTCACGGAATTTTTAGATGCTCTAAATTGTACCACTGCGAGTATCTGCTAAACAGAGTGCTGTACCAAGACAGCAGGAAAGCCAACTTCATGAGATTCCTTGCCGCAAGCACACACAGGAAGCTTACGGAACCAGACCCACAGTGGGGCTCAGCCCGTGCTCCCGTGCCATGTGGCCAAGGATGGGCTCCCCACCCACAAACAGAGCAGGGCTCACTCTGCAGGGAGAAGTGCGTGCACCCTCAGTGACAGCGTGTGCTTGCCAGCAGGTGGGCATCTGGACACCAGTGCAAGGGACATGAGTGATGAGGCAGGAGATGTTAAAACTTCTGGCAACCAAACATTTTTAAAGGTCTTAACTGTCTGCTTTAGTAGAATTTCTAACACAGAGGACTCTTTGCTTGAAAAGCAGATGACAGGAGAGATTTCAAATAGTGTAATTCATTTTCCAGGAGCTGTTTCCCCACCCAGATCAGCACCCACTACAAGCCACTGGTTCTAACGATTGTCAGTGGTTACTGATACACACTGTCACGTCTAATGCTCTCAACTCATTTTGTGTGGTTTGGAAACTGGACTTGGAAATTAGGGAGCCACTCCCTATGGCCATTCCCCTTTCACAGAAGCACAGTCCACTCTGACCAGATACTGTACAGCAGAGGTGTATTCCGCTCAGACAGGTTCCAAAGATCACAGGCAATCTGCCAACTTCTTTCTGGTTCTTCACTCTAAACAACGATACTCCTCTCCCACCCTTCTCTTTTCATAGGGCGCTTCTTCCTGTCTCACATGCGTCTGGCCTGTCCTCACAGTTCCCAAGCTGCCAGAATCCCTTGGGAAGATGTTTGACATACAGCTTCCCAGGCTGCACCTAAAGCTAATCTGCTGGATCCTCCCAGTCGTCTGCCAGCTTTCACAAGTAACCCAATTGAGGTGGTTCCCACCGAGCCACTCCAGCACTCATCTAACACCCAGCAACCACTGGATTGGTAACCCACCGGGTTATGGGAAGCTCACAGTACACTGGGGGCATCTGAATGACACTTCAAGAGTTAGTCTTTCATTTCATACTCTTCTATTTCAAGGACAGTAAGAATGTTATAGAAGTATATGTTCACTAAAGTAGAGATGAACTCGTCACAGAAATGTAACATCTTATGCCAAGGTACCTCACCTAAAAAAAGTACACCACCAGTAGAACTTTACTGAACAGAACTCTGCCTCTCAAGTTTCTCTCAGGAGACACCAGTTGTTTTTTAAACAGAACAAGAGACATCTGACCCACCAGCCCTAACTCAGCTTATTCTACACTCCCCGGGCTGTGGAAGAGATCTGTCTGTCCTAACCTAACAATGATTGAAAGGGCCTGCCCTCCTGAAGTCTTTTTTTTTTTATATATATAAAGTTTGTTCTGTTGAAAATGATTAACGTTTTAAGCAGCGGAAAGAAAGGCAGTCAAGATTAAATTTTAAAAGGATTTTGTTATTTGCTATACAAATATACATTTTAACTTTTACAACATTCACTCCAGTCTGACCTTCTTTATAGAACAGGAGATCAACATTTCCAGTCTCCGGCTTCAAGGACAGGATTACTGATACACAAACACCCTCTGAAAGCTTTTGCAACTGAAAAAAGTACTGAAGATGACCCACAGGCTCAGGCATGTGGATGCACTTTCCATGTTTTCCAATAGCACACAAACTCCTTTTAGGAAAAAATCATCTTATCTGAATGGTCCTTTTAGCTGGTTATCTTAAGTCTGCAATAACGCTTATGGCTGAAAGTCTATGTCATTTGGCCTTCACTATAAAAGCTTTCTTTTCTTTGAACTATCCTCCTCCAGTCTCCTCTTCTCCCAGCCAGAGTTCCTCTCTGTGTGATGGCTCTCAGAGCTATGCTTTTCCAGGTCCCCTTCACTGAAAGCCCTGGTCTCTCTTCGATGGCTGAGATTTTCTTCCTGGCCATGTTTTCTTTTACTTGTGGAAGCTTCAGTACTAGCAGCCGGAGGGTCACCAGGCCCGGGAAGTTGGTGGCTGCTCAGAGGAGCTACTTCGGCAGTGGACGGCTGCACACTCCCGAGATTCTGGTGACTCACAGGAAAGCCTGGCTCTTGCGAGGGAGGTGCTGCTCCAGGCTGCTGGGGGCTCAAGGGCTGTGGCTCCTGGAGGCATTGCCCTTTGCGGTCCATGCCCATCCTCCGAAGCAGGCGTGGATCTCGCAGCCGGTCCCGCAGGGGAGGCCGCTCAGGACCCTGAGCAGGGATGGTAACAGTGGCTCCCTTGGGGTCCGAGGGTGCAGAGTTTGGGGAAGAAGCAAATGATGTATGGGCAAGTTCACTGCCTAGTCTGTTGCCAGGCAAGCCACCCTGGGCCCTGGGCGCCTCTGGGGTGATGGCAAGGGGGTGAGTCAGGCTTCTCTCAAGTGCCGGCTTGAGTTTCAGAATCTTTGTGGCATCATGTCTGTAGTTTTTGTCACAGGTCTTAACAATGGCACCGCGCTTCTGTGCATCCTGAATCAGTTGATTCCAATGCTCATTTTCCTTAAAGAGGAGAGAGAGAGTTACAGCCCAGAGAAAGACTCATATGCCTGAGAAGCATGAGGTTCCAGCTTTCATTTCCAAACAAATAAGTATACATATTTCATGAATGGATTCTCAAGAATCCATTACTTGCTAGACAAGGCCAAAATATACATGTAAGGACAGTAAAGCCACATTACTAGAAAAGAACACTGGTCACCACCATGAGCTCTTCCACCACTTCAACCACTGTTACTCATGCTACATGGTAATCCACTGCCACATGGAGCTGCACCAGCTGCCAGTAGCCTCATGTAGCTATTAACATTTCAATTAATTAAAATGAAATAAAACTAAAGATTCAGTTCCTCAGCTCCACATTATGAGTGCTCAGTGGCCACAGATGACTAGTGGTTAGTGTTCTGGACAGTGCAGAAACAGACTGGCGCCATCATGCAGGCAAGTCCCCCTTGGCCGTGCTGACCTAGAGTCTTGTCTGCCTGTTGGTCAGGCCAACATGCAGGAACAGGAAGGCTTAGTTTCTTTTCAGGAAGCCCTAATGTTTGAGTACATATCAGTGTTCTAGAAAGAGGTCTATAGCTTTCAACAAATTCTCAAAGGCCTCCCAAACTCCAAAGAGTTAAACGAACTGAATCCACTGAGATACTATTCCAAAGGTATCACCCCACTCACTCTCTTTTCTAGAGAAACACCTCATGAAGAGCACAGTGAAGGAAAAGAGAAAACGGATGCATCTTGCCCCTCAGCCCTCCAGAGTTTCCTCAGCATAAACTGCTTCTTTACAACTACCAGAACTTGAACTTATTTAGAAAGAAGGAAGAGTCAGCATGAGAGCCAACAAAGGACAAAGGTGGAAGGAAAGAGAAGAAAAGGGGAGAAAGAGAAAAGGTTAGTTCATTTGGCTAAACAACCAAAAAAAAAGGCCCCAAGGACAATGAAAGCTGAAGGCCCAAGTGATAGGCCGGGAGTTTCTAAATTCTCTTCCTTCCAGCTCCCTGTGTTAGCACTGGCTTCCCAGCATGCGGGCACTGTCTGTGCCACAGCTGCAGGCCAGAGTCTTCAATCCGTTTTATGCCCTGGGGCTCACACAGACTTTCCCTAAGAACATTCCAGGGAATCAACTCCCGGCCCCACTTCCCCCTCAGCTCTCCGGCCCCTCTATGCATCCTTCACAGTCACAATGACTCACTCTTCCTAAATCTGGGCACAGAGTGCATGCCAGGCCAATAGAAACTGCTGGATGCAAGCCACATAGAGGGGCCAGTAAAAATAAGGGTGCCTGCAAGGCTCCTTTAATCAGGGCATCACTGAAAGACACAGCTCTAGTAACATTTTACTTTTCACATTTAAACATTATCAAAATTCAACTGTGTACAAGTAATAACTAACAAACAGTCAATTGCCAAATTATTTTGTAACACTCAGATCCTTACCATCACAGGAAAAATAGTTTAAAGACCTTTCATTCTAAGGGAACTACAGTCACAGGAAGTTGCAAAAAGCAGTACAGAAATGTACCCTTCAAACAATTTCCCCCATTATGGAAACAATTTTTTAAACTTTCATTTTATATATACATTTTTGTGACAGAGAAGTGTGATAATGAGGTTAACAGAAAGGCTTTGGTTGTAAAAATAAATTACCCCATGAATTTTATCCTAAACAAGTATGAATGGAAATTAAATTTCAAAAAGTAGAATACTGCTGCTCTCCTATTTCATGGGATACACTAAAGAACCACAGAATAGATTTAAGTTTTATTTTAAAATGTCAGTATTTAGAAATAAACTTATGATAAAAAGTTTTCAGTATCTACTTAAGAATAGGGGATACACAGCTTATAAAACTTCATCCAACAGGGCACACCACCAACAGAAGATGGAGACCACAGGTCTAGGTAGGGGTTGGATGAGAAAGACTGTACTTGGGTGCCCTCTGGAGGTAATAACTAAAACGGGGCCCATCTACTGAGTTGGCTCCTCTCCTACGCTTGACTTTGTTAAATGGAGAATTAGAAAACGGGAAGTTATTACCCCAATGAGACAAGCAGCAGATACACGCTTTAGCTAGCTGTGATAGCCCTGAGCTAAGCCGCGCTACTTGCTCGCTGAAGGCGTACGCTTGCCACCTCCCCCAGAGGCACAGGTGTCCTGCAGAGGAGCCTGCACAGTACCCACCAAGGGGACAGCGGGCGGCACTATCCTAAGGGCACACACACGCTCCCTCCCTCTCTGCCATTAAGTGGGGCCAGTGACAGCCACGTTTACTGAGTGTTACCAAGTGCCAACAACTTGTCTAACACTTTACACGTATGGATTTGTAGGTCTTCTTGATAATCTTATGATGTACATGGAATTTTCTAAGAAAGGTCATTCTGAGAGGGTGTTGTGGATATCTGGGCTGAGGCGAGCAGCTTACATGTGTACAAGTTCTTGTGGCTGGAGGACAGAACCACCACGGAGAGTATGTTTGCTATTTGTAACCCTCAAATCATTTCCATCTTGATGGAAAACAAAACACAGAACCTTAGCCCAGTATCAGTAACAACGGGCAACCTTCTGGGTTCTCTGGGGCCCACGGCTGTACCCACCATCAGGGTCCTTAAATGTCCGAGGATGAAGAGGCTGTACTTGGCTCGTGTAATGGTGACATTCAATCTTGGCAAACTTGCCAGAAATCTAAGCGAACAAAACAAAAGAAGTTAACTTCTTTCTACAGAATGACTGAGCCTGTCAGAACAGGTGAGACACAGCAGTAGTTCTGACAGATTTTCTTGGGCTCCTTCTATTAAAACCACAGGACTTTCCCACTCTTGTCTCCAACATAGGGTGCCTGGCAAGGAGGCAACTGCCATTACAACGGTGAACAAAAGGCCTGGTGCTTTCCTTCAAAGTGATTTGTCAATCTCCTATTCTGACTTGGACGAGGCACTGGAAATTTTAACAGTATGATTTTTAAGCCTTAAAAACATCCTAAAAAATATGATATGAGACTAAACATATTTGAGATTATTCAAATATTGTGGAACCAGTGCAGAAATACCCAAACACAAGACAAATGCATCAATGTGAAAAGAGCTCAGAAATAATAGAATTGGCATATGGTGAAACTTCAAAATAGTTGGGAAAGAATGATCTATTTGCAAATGGTGCTGAAATAACTGCCCTCCACTTGCACACTCAGACTATTTCTATGGAGGGGCAGAAATAAATTACTATTCTCTTTAAGAACAAACACATTTACAATCTGTAAATTCCATCTGCTTTTCATGAAAAGGACAAAATAATTGCCTAGAGCCTCAAGGCCCTGAGACTCGAGTTTTCTGTCATCCATTATAGGATCCTTTGCATCTTTAGTAAGTAAATTGACAGTGGTAGTTACGGTTAACAAACTTACCCAAAGCAGGAAAACACAAGAGGAAAAACCACTTTATGACATATAATGGAGAGAAACAAGGCCCCGCAAAATGCACTTGATCCAATGATTTACTTCACTTATTAAGTAAAAGAATAGATTCACACATCAGGAGAAGCAGACTTACCAATGGGTTAACTTCACAACGTGAAAAAGAAACATTCATGATAACATAGTATTTTTAATAAGACAATAAATAAATTATGGTATTCTCTAGGGGTGGTTGGAAACAGATCTAGCTCTGGATTATAAACAAGCAAGAACTCAGTAATGACAGTTACCCAATGGAGCCTTGCATGGTATTTGCTCTGACACACGTAACAATGATGCAGTCTTTCTGGCGACCCTGGAAGGCATCCACAGTACCGACTTCTGCAGGCCTATTGAAGAAAGACATGTTTACTGGGAAAAGTAAGATAATTATTAAACATACACACTTATAAAGTAGTATTTTTCAGGCGCTTTTTCATGTTTTTACTGACATGTAATTCACAGAACATAAAATTCACCATTTCCAAGCATACCATTTGTTTCTAGTACATTCACTATGTGGGGCAGCCATCACCACTCTCTAATTTCAGAACATTTCCACCAACCTAAAGGAAAACTGTGCCTATTAGGCATCAATCTCAATGTCCCCCTCCCCCCAGGCCCTGGCAGTCACTAATCTACTTTTTCTCTCTTTGGATTTTTCTATACTAGAAATTCCATATTAAAGGAATCATAAGGTATATGGTCTTTTGTTTCTGGCCTCTTAGCATAATGTTTTCAAAGTTCATCCATGTTGTAGCATGTAACAGTACTTCATTCCTTTTATGACTGAGTATTTGTCCAGATACACAATTTATTTCATCAATTTACAATTGATGGACACTTGGGTTGTTCCCACTTTTTGACTATTATGAATAATGTTGCTATGAACATTCACGTGTAAGCTTTTGGGTAAACATTTTTTCAGCTCTTTCAGGTATAACCTGAAAGGAATGGAATTACTCAATCATATGGTAATTCCTATGATTAATTTTTTAATTAACTGCCAAACTGTTTCACCAAGTGGTTTGGCATTTTACACCCTCACCAGCAATGTATAAGGGTTCCACATTTCTCCACATCCTTGCCAACACTTGTTACTGTCTGTTGTTTTTTCTGGACTACATCCATCTTGGTAGGGTACCCCATTGTGGTTTTGATTTGCATTTTCCTAATGACAAATGATATTGAACATCCTTCATGTGCTTGTTGGTCATTTGTTTATTACCTTCTTTTGAAAAATGCTCTTCAAATCCTTTGCTCATTTAAAAAATTAGATTAATTATCTTTTTATTATTGAGTTATATGAATTCTTTCTATATTCTGGATATGAGACTCTTATCAGATATATGATTTGCAAGAACAGATCTTCCTTAAGATGGGGTTACATCCCAAAAACCACTGTAAGTTGAAAACACATTAATACACCTAAACTACCCAACATCAGCGCTTAGCCTGGCCCACCTTAACCATGCTCAGGATGCTTATGTTAGCCTATAGTAGGGCAAAATCACTGAACACAAAGCCTATGTTATAATAAGGTGTTGAATATCTCACGTAATTTACTGCGTGCTACACTGAGAGGGAAAAACAGGACAGCCGTCCAGGCGCAGAAAGGGTGTCATGGATCAGCTGTGGATCATCAGTTGTGATCACATGGCTGACTGGGAGCTGAGGTTCGGACACCACCACCCAGCATCATGAGAATTGTACCACATTATCACCAGCCCAGAAACAATAAAAATTCAAAACTTGAAGTGTGGTTTCTACCAAATGTTGAAAGATCCTAACTTGAACTGTGGTAAGTCAGCAACCATCTGTCTCTCCCCATTTTGTAGAAATCTTTTTATTCTTTTGATGGTGTCCTTTGACACACACGTTTTTAATTTTTATGAAGTCCAATCTGAGGTCATACAGATTTACACCATTGTTTCCTTACAATTTTCTCTCAGATTTAGGATAGTAATCCATTTTGAGTCCATTATTGTATGTGGTGTGAGACAGGGACTGAAATTCATTCTTTTGCATGTGGATATCCAGCTGTCCAGCACCACTTACTGAAAAGACTGTCCTTCCCCACTGAATGGTTCTGGCACCCTTGTTGATAATCATCTGGCCCAAGTGTAGGTTTACTTCTGGACTCTGAGGTCTACTGGCCTACAGGTCTATCCTTACAGCAGTATTGCAATTTTGATAAGTAGCTTTGCAGTCTAAGTTTTTAAACAGGGAAGTGGGAGCCTTCCCAAGCTATTTACTGTTCTAAACTATTCACTTCCATGTGTATTTTAGACTAAGCTTGTCCGTCTGTGAGAAAGTAGTTGAAATTTTGACAGCATTAACACTCAAAACTGTAGATTAATTTGGGGAGCAGCGCCTTGTTAACAATAGTAAGTCTTCCAATCCACGAACAGAGTGTCTTTCCATTTACTCAGGTGTTAACTTCTTTTAACATTTTGTACTTTTCAGTGTACAACTCTTATACTGATTATATTTATTCCTATGTATTTTGTTCTCTTTAATACAATTACAAACAGAATTATCTTTTAAATTTCTTTTTTAGATTGCTCTTTGCTAGTGTATAGAAATACAACTGATTTTTGTATATTGATCCTGTATCCTACAATTTTCCTGAACTAATTTATTAGGGCTAATAGTGTCTCTGTGTGGCTTCTTTAGGGTTTCCCCTACATAAGGCCACATGATTGACAGAGATAGTTTTACTTCTTACTAATATGGATGCCTTTTATTTCTTTTTCATATCTAATTGTCCTGCCTAGAACCTCTTGCAATGCTGTGTAGAAGCAGCAAGAGCAGGCATCCTTCCTAATCTTGGGAAAGTCTTTAGCCTTATCAGCAATTGTGATGCTAGCAATGGGTCTTTCACAGATGCCCTGTATTAAGGGTGAGGCAGTTCCTTTCTATTCCTAGTCTGTTGAGTGTTTTTATCATAAAAGGGTGTTGGATTTCAGTCAAATGCTTTTCCACTTCTACTTAGGTGATATGTGGGTTTTCTTCACTTTATTCTATTAATAGGGTGTATCACACTGATTGACAGTTTCCTATGTTGAACCAACCTTGCATTCCTGAGACAATCCTACTTGGTCATGATGCATGATCTGTTTTATACGCTGCTGAATTCAGCTGCCACTATTTTCTTGAGGATTTCTGCATCTATATTCATAAGGAATATTGGTCTGTAGTTGTTCTTGTGATATTTTTCCTCGACTGGTGTAAGTTAATATTGGCCTGATCAAATTAGTTAGAAAAGGAGCTATTTTTTTAAAAAGTTTGAGAAGGATTGGTATTAATTCTTATTTTCGTGATTGGTAGAATTCACCAGTGAAGCCTGGTCCTGGGTTTTTCTTTGTTGGGAAGTTTAAACTCTGTTTAAACTTTACTTTTAATTGCTCAAATTTCTATTTTTTCTAGAATCAATTTCAGTAGTTTGTATGCTTCTAGGTTAAGAAATTTTTGACTTGGTGGATTTCCAATATCTGAACTTTAATTTTACTGTTGAGGTAAAAAGGAAACAAAAATAAGATCTTCATCCTATACATAAAGGCACTAGAAGGGTTAAATAATTTAAGTGAAAATGTGACTTCATGAGTCTTGCTAGAATTAGAATTTAGACTAAAAAGTCATGGAACTAGAGGCAAAGGCCTGTAGAATCTCTCAGTCAATTTCACTGCCAAGTATAATGGTGACAACATTCCAACGGACAGGAGGGACTCGGTCTACAGAAGCTTCCAGTGTGACCATTCCCTACCCAGTACAAGTCTATGGAAGCCAGTGTCCCAGTTCCTTGTGCTGCACTACCCTGGTCTAAGACCATTCCCCAGAGTTACAGCTGCTTTTCTTGTTTCCTTCTATCACCTTTCTTCTTTTCAATTCAATAGAAAAACTGGAAATATCTGTAAAAATATAGATGTCTCACCCTTTTCTACCAAACTCTTTGTCCAAATCCTTCTGAATCATCATCTTCTGAGCCTTGTAATGGGTTATTATGCCAACGTTTCGGAGTGTAGCATCCCTTCTTTTGTCTTTAATAAGTTTAATTATTTCCATTACCAGTTTTATTTCTTGAACATTTACATACGAGCTAAATCAGATGGAAAAAACAGTAACACATTAAAACCAAAGCAGTGCAATGGCTGACTTAAGTTCCACTTTTGTTTTCCATTACAGTAAAGGGCAGCAGAGGTAGGTTTCATCTTTATTCAGTCAGTAGTGACTCAAACAGGCTGCTATAAAGACCATTAAAAATCATACATACAAATAAATATAAAAATAACTGCCCAATGAAATGTGAGGTTGTGAGAGAAGAGTTTGTAATCAACTGAACTTTACACCCTATTTTCTTCATCTGTTAAAACAGGGATGCACAGTAAGAACAAAGAATTTAGAATAAGAAGATATGAATAATAAATAGATAACATTAAGGATTTACTATGTTCTACATACTGAGAAAAGTGCTTTTGATGTATTATCTTTCTTAAATCCCCACCACTGGCTCTGCAGACCACGTACCACACCACCAAGGGAACGCCAACCACAGAGACTAAATTCAGTGCAGAGAAGACATCAACCCCTGAGAACAACATGGGGTCCTGGCAAAGGGTCACAGCCTCACCGACCTCACCCTGTGCTCCTCACTCATCTCCCAAATGAAACACATGCCCTCATTACCTTGCACCAACACTGCACCTTTAATCCCAAGGCCATGTTATGCCTCATTTGAAAACCCTTAAGTAACCACTATCCTAATGTCAAGACTTACTGAACAGACAACCGAGCTGGCTAACTCTCTCCCCAATTCCTGGAATCTTTATCTTCCTTGGCTCTCTCTTAGGACATTACTTGTGTGGCCTTCTTTGTAAGGACTCTGAATCCTCCGCTGCGTTCCAACAGCTCCTGCTACAACCTTTTCAACCCTCCTGGCATTGCAAGCCCTCTAGCCAACTGCTTCTGTGCATTTCTGACTTCTTCACTGAATGTTCCCTCCCTCCACTTCTGTACCTGAACTAATGCCTGATTCTTGCTCAGGACAGCACAGAGGTGGCATCTGTATTTCCTCCTACTTCCTGAGCACTCCTGTGCCAACAAACGCAGCCTCCAGACTGTTTACCCTCTACTCTGTCCTTTGACGTTGTTTAGCAGCCACTGCTCCTTTTTGTGCTATAGACCACCTGAACATGGCCCGTATTCACAATCCAATATACTAGAAGTACTGTCCATCCTGTCTCACACCTTGATTTAACTGAGTCTGTATCCTTTATAACACTTAACCCACCTGGAATAATTAATTGCCTGGTTTTTTCCTGGTTAATGTGTCTCCCCTGTTAGACCACAGCAACTTTGCACTGGGCCATGTCTGTTTTAGGCACAGCTGGATCTCAGCATGTATTTCACTCAAGTGCTTACCATATGTTAAGTAATATCTCCATTACACAGCTATGAAGGTTAAAAGGCTGAAATACATGGAGAACAACATCAGCAATTTATGACAGAAGATATTAGCCATTTAAGTGAAAATGACTGTGCCTTGGCAATAGGCAGATTGGTATGTATGGAAAATTTTTTTAATGTAAACATGAACAAAGATAACAAATCTACACCCATCACTAGGAATTGAAGAAAGCAGAGAACATACTCATTATCCCGTCTTTCTGAACCATCTCCGACATCAAACACAAGGTAAGGTTGAAACGGCCAGTCTGATGAACACCGCGTGGTCTCAGTCAGTCTACAAGAAAGCAGCCACCATTCAGAATACAAGTCAAGTTACAAGAAACATTTTCTTATTACTTTTTCTGAGGGAGAAGGGAGCTGGGAAAGTAAGGGGACAAGAAAGACTTTCTTCTATTTAAATGTGCTTTAGTGAAAGGTACAAAATGGACTTTATTTATACATTAGTACTAGGGAGAGTGACCTATCTAATTAAAATACAACAATTGCAACTGGGAAGTTACTTATAAGAGAAAAGAGCCAAAGAGTACGTAGTCCCTAACTCCAATGGTTCGGCTTATGATTCTTTGACTTTACGATGGCACAAAAGCAATACGAGTTCAGTAGAAGCCATGCTTTGCATTTTGGATCTGGATCTTTTCCTGGGCTGGTGATACGATCCTCTCTGGTGACGCTGGGCCGTGGCAGCAAGCTGCAGCGCCCAGTCAGCCATGCGGTCACGTTGGTCAGCAGCCAACACCCGGACACCTGTTCGTTCCGTGCCCGGACAGCCATTCTGTTTTCCCCTTTCAGTGCAGCATGCGGTAAATTATGTGGGATATTCAACACTTCATTATAAAACAGGCTTTCTGTTAGACAATTTTGCCCACCTGCAGGCTAATGTACGTGTTCTGAATATGTTTAAGGTAGGCAAGGGTAAGCTGTGATGTTTGGTAATTAGGAGTATTAAATGTTTTTCAACTTACAATGGGTTTATTGGGACTTAATCTCTCTATTATAAATCAAGGAAGATCTGTACTATGTAGAATATGGTGTGATTTTTTTCCCAAAAAAAATCTAAAAATAGAAAATGTAAAAAAAAGATATGCATAGTACAAAGCCTGGAAGTACATATACCAAAATATTACCAGTGACTATTTCAGGGTAGTATAAATATGAGCAGTGTTTCCCCTTCTTTTTTGCTTATCTGCATTTGCTGCAACCAACATGACTTTTAGAATGAGAGAAAACTATTAAACCGTTGATTTATGCTTTTTATGATAAGACTTAAGACCACAGTAAAACAGGAATTCTTCCTAAGCAGCTAACCCTACAAATGAGCTATGAAACTATGACTGGGGCTCACCTATTTGTTTTCAAGCTTTTGTTATAAACATAATTAGAAGGGAAGAGACATATGTCTGGATGCATCCTGTACTGAACGGTGAGCTGTACGATGGGCAGCCTGCCAATCATATTGTGTTCCAGGTACTCCTCCAGCAGCTTGTAGAAGCGAGCCATCATTGACTGGTCATAGCCATGCTCCTGGGCTTTCTGCTAGGGGACATAAAAGTCATTTCCAAGAATTTTCTTATGCTTTCCCCAGAACAATGACTGAGCTCTAATATGTGCATGGCAAAATTTAGGTGGAGTAAGATTACCAACAATCAAAGATTCAGAGAAAGGTGTTTGACTCCAGCCCTTGAAAAGGCACGTAGGTTGACTGTAAAAGTTGAACTATTTTCTCTTTATTTAGAAAACCCATATAATGTATATGAAAAGCTTTGAGCTTGTGAGTGACCACAACTGAAGCTATTTTGATGCCGAGGGAGGCCATGTGAAAGAATCAATGATATGAGGTGCAAAGAAATGCAGCACGGATGGTGACGATTACTTCTGGAGTGTGCTCTCCCTAATGCAAACATGGAGTGTCATTGCAAACGCCTTTCAGAGGCCAATTCCTTCATCTGTCCGTCCATCTATCCAGTAAATACTGATCATCTCAAATTTGGGGTGCTGAGACTGCTAAGGTGAAAAAGATCAGAACTTATATTCTAGCGGAGGAGACAGGAAAGACTAAGTTGATTTCATAAAGCCAATAATGGGTACAATCTGCAATGTGGAGAACAGTGACCTTGACGACAGCTAGAGAGCACTGACACCGTGACTTGGGAGATACACTTCAGTGGCAACATCTCTAAGATTCAAAAGGTACTAAATAATCTAGGAGCAAAAAATGTGCTGTGAAAAATGTACTAAGATGATGGAATCTTGATGAGCAATGTTAGGACATGGCTGTTGAAGATACACCTGCAAGATCTGAATAAACCTGCCCCACAAACTATGACTGAAAAAAGGTATCACTTCTTAAATAACAGATTATTATAGATGCGACTTCAAACAGGTTTGTGTGACTCAATAAAATAAATTAAGTTTAGCAGATGTTTAGCAACTTCATCTACATCCCCCAAAATGTACGCAAATTAGCTAAGACCTCATTTTGAATGTTCTCTGTGGCAAAAAAAAAGAAAAGGACTTAATATGAGGTAACACATCTACTTTTAGAAAAAAAAGTCTATCCTACAAAATGACGGAGCTTTATATGTCATGACATAGAAGGATATGCCCAATCTATTTACTGATTAGAAAAAACCAATTTGGCACGGAATGACTCCGTAACCTTTAAACAAAGCCAAAACCTACCTACATATGCTGTATACAAACCTTGCAACTGCCTTACACACCATATTTTATTAACTTGGTTACTATATGTTACCCACTAGATTGTAAGCTCCACGAGGACAGGGATTTTGGTCTGCTTTCTTCACTGTCATAACACCAGCACATAAAACAGTGCCTGAATTAGGCTGCCACTCTATAAATTTAAAGAAATGAATAAACAAACACACAAATGACCAGGAAAATATGTTAAAATACTTACTAAACTGTTCACAGTAATTATGCCTAGAAATAGGTGATCAGAAAGGCATGTTGAGGAAATTAACCTTGTAATTATTTTCTAAATTTTCCTCAATAAGCCTGTAACATTTCTCCAATAATAATAAAAAGCCTGAATGGCTTTTTTCCATTTTTTCCATTTTTATCAATTACTGAAGGAGGCAGTGAGGTAAGGCCCATCAACAACACCTACATACTGAGGCCCTTCAACAAGTTAAATCAGTAAATTTTTAAAATACTGTGTTACTTAAAGACATGCACTCCGGAGCTGGGTTTTCATTATTCATGAACAGCCTTCAGCACTGCTGCAGGCTCTCTCACTCAGGTGGTGTGCTTCTAGGTTATGCCCCACCTGATCACATATGTGCTCAGAGGCCAAAGAACTGCACTGTCACTGTAAGTGATTCACTCCAAAGCCAAAAGACAGTGACAACAAAAACCGCAGTCATTCATTCATTCATTTCATAAATGAACAGGAATGTTTGAAAATGATCTGTGCTCTGGGATTGCTCATACAGGCACTACTCTGTATTTGTATAAATAATTGTGGGAATCTTATTAAATTGCTAAACCAAGGTCTAGACCTATTCGGACTACACAAAACATCCACTGAATCCTGATTCTGGCGTGTATTTCTGGAAGCCACCTTTACTGAGATAAAAAAAAGTAGAGGATCACAATCTAGGTGCTGATCTTCCCACAAGGAGAGTCCACAGTCTCCTCTCTTTTCCTGTCACCCACACTTTAAGAGGATGAGGGTAAAGACATTTTCTTGTATTATAGGGTAAAGGATTCTAAAACTAGAGATGTATTCTAAAAATAATTTCCCTTTTTAATGTTTTCCTCAAATTTGTACATATTTATTAAATAGAAATATGGAGGCTAGGAAACTTTTCCTTGCTGCTTGCTGCTTCTATTATAGTTTTGGTGTTTATATTATTGAAATAAATCAAGTTACAGCCCTTTAAGTAGTTGCACACTGCCTTTACCAAAGGCCAGCCCAATGCACATGGAATATGGTATTGTTTTGTCTTCTGGTCTCTGACACTTACACTGCTCCTGTCATACCTGGACATAAACACAATTATGAACAAGCAGGTGTTTTCAGACCTTTTTTTATGAATATGAAAAGGCTCACCACAGAAATGACAGTGGGAGGGAGCTGTTTAGGATCTCCTACTAGGATAAGCTTGTTGCAATGATGGATGAGCGGAGTAAGGGTGTCAACTTCAGAAGACTGCCCAGCCTTGGAGAGAAAGTACAGGATGGAGAAAGTCTTAATTATCCTTGTTATTTATTCATTCACGCAATTTACCTAATTCATAAAAGTTCTAACCATTCAGAAAAGTACCACATCTTCTTCTTTTTCATCAAATATCAAAAATAAGGATTTTCCTTGGTTAGAAACAATTGCAACAAGAACACTCTTACCAATTTTATAAAACCACAGGTGTTTTCTGCCACCACTTAGGTGCCACCACCACTAGCGAACTAGCTGCCAAGCTGGCAGGCGCAGACTTCCTGTCTGTGTTTCTGGCTGCTGCTGGACCGCCTGAAGGCACTTGGAGGCTGTGCCCCCGCCCCCACTCCCAGTGGGCCTCTTCAGTTCCAAGACTTGAGTGCCTCTTAGTTCAGTGATGTTTTCTTCAGTTATTTCATCACTTCCACTTTCTCTGTTCCCTCCTTTTGGAGAATACTGTATCTTGGATCTCCTACATTGATACTCTATATCTCATTTTCCATCTCTTTTGTCTCCTGGCTCTACATCCTGGCAAACAGTAGGTACCCAACAAATGTTTGCTCAATGAATAAGCTGGGTATTAGTTGAAAATATTGTGGCTCAGAGCTGACCAGTTATACAAAACTGCTTCAACAAGGTAACCTGAGATCCTCTAAGCAGGAGCTAGATAATCCTCAGGAGAGATTTTTTTTAGGAGCAATCAGGAATCCTTAAGGCTACAACCTCAAGACTGGAAAAGCACTTTTAACTGAGGGGAGTATCTAAGAGAACACACAAAATGTGGCAGGTAAAAATAAAATGCGGAAAGACCATTTTGTTACAGCTCAGCAGCCATGCTTCACTTAAGACAGTCCCCGCAGCCCTAGTCAAAGCAGATGGCTGACTGCTTACGGACCTCATCAACAATGACACAACTGAAGGGGAGACCCCCTTGCCCACGAAAAGCAGACTCGAGCAATAAACCACCACTGGTGCTCAAGGTGCAGCAGACGACATGGGACTCCAAAACGATGATACTCTGTGTTTTTTGTGGGCGTCCTTGAACCTAAGAGAATAAAGATGAATCAATATCCAGTTGTATATAAATTCTTAATTACGGTAGACCTACTTCTACTATAAAATAACCATTATTTATTATGTGACAGAATAATATTTAGTAAATGTTAGGGGTGAACCTCAAATCTAGACAATAGCAGAAACAAACAATATCCAAGGTACCACAAACTGCCAGAAAGAACACTGCTTTGCAGTGCAGTTGAAGCTTAGAACATGATTTAAGCACATTAAGACAGATTTATTCAGTATGGGATTTGGTCAAAGTAACAATTCTTATAGTTAGATAGATGTATGTGGACAGGCATCAGAATAAGTAGAGATTAAAAAATCCTACCGAGTTGAGAAACAATTATTTGTGTAAAACCAGGGTCAGAACTAAGCTTCAATGTACATTGTTCTGTTAGTGTTTAAGTATGCAATGCTGTTCTTTCTTTTGTAAAGTCTGGTACCAACAAAATGCCTGAAAAACTGATGCACACTCTACTTCCACAGTAAGAAAAACAACCTTACCTACTCCTGTGACGCAACATACAATAATGAGACCAACAGTGTGGTCACCCTCAGAATGTCCAGCACTTAGTTAATAACCTAGTCCTCTCATCAGATTCAGTTAGCCTATTTCTGCTCCTGAAAGTAGCAGCGATTCACCCCTGCACTGTGATATGGTCAACCATGGGCTCCCAGGCATGTGTTTAAGATTTAGGAAGTGGGTGGTAACTGTGGCCCTCCAGGGCTCACATGTTAAAGCACTGTCACACCTTTCCTCTCAGCCATCTACTAAGAAAACTGCCACTACAATTCATTCAGTGGCCCACAGAATACTGTGACACGCAGCAGAAACCACATGTCTATAAACATGGACTTCATCCTTAAATTTGGGAAGATTAACTTTGGGCTCAGTTTAAAATTTTAATAGAAAACTTTCCATATTATTCTTAATTTAAATAAACTGCTGATGGAAACATACATTAAATACAACTGTACTTATTTTAGCCATATAGAGAATATATAATAATTCCTTCAAGAGAGAAATCTCAGCTCAGAAATACCAGTGTGACCTCCCTCCCCGACCACTAACTGGTGTTACGAGGGCTGCGTGATGAGGACATACATCTGGCTTGTCCCAGTTTTGATCAACCTTGATCTCAGTTCGTATTTTTATATCCAAAGAATACTGGGGAAAACATTACACATGTTATGGAAGGATTATCATCAAAAACAAGTGCAAAGAGTGTATGCTTTCAGCTAAGAAGTGAAAGCAAAAAAGGTGCTTGTACTTTCTTATGCCAAATCCCAACCACTGTCACTCTACTTGAATCCAGACATGATTTTCCTTTTTTCTTTCATTTTAATAGGAAAAAATACCTAAAAACCTATTTTTATTACTTATCTGATGATAATTATAATTGATTTTGCAGTGCGGGGGGAGGAGAGACCTAACAGTAATTTTTTAAATACTTACCTAGACCTAGTAAAGGAAAAACATATTTTATAATCACCTCTTTCTTAGAAATCTCAGGTGGTGATAAGAATTCATTACTAGAATGAGATTCAAGATGGTGGCATGAGAGGTGAGATGGAGAATTCCTCCCAAAACCACAGATAATATGAAAATGTAGTTAATTGATACAACTAACCCTAAAACAACAAGAAAGAAGGCTGAACCAGACTGCATACTGACCTCACAAACAGAGCAGACCTCACGAAACAGGGTAACGTAAGAAAGCCTTAATCCGGGGGGACCTGAGCCCTTCCCCCACCCCAACTCACCGATGGGAGGAAGAAAAATGGAGCAGGGGAGGGGGTGGAAGCCTGGGACTGCTGAACACCCAGCCCTGGAGATCTGCTTTGGGAGCAGAAGCCTACACTGTGTGGTGCTCTGGACACTGGGGAGCTCAGACAGGAGGAGTGCTTGAGAGACAGATTCCGGCCATTTGTGGAGGGACAGATCCACACCCGGCTGCTCTGGGACCATGGAAAGGCAGGTGGTCTGAGAGGCTTCCTAGTAGCAAGAGTGCTGCTGAATGACTGGGGTTTGCATGGAGCTTGCTGCGTGGGAGAGGGTACAAGGTTCTCTGGGCGCGCTCTGCCCAGCTGCGTGGAACTTTGAGGAGCTTCAGGCACCCCATCCCCCTGGCTGACTTCTCAGCTCCGAGGCCCCCCAACTGTGACACACAACCTGCTGCACCTTGCTCCTAGCCTGCCAACACTGGTTCACAAACGTGCAGTCACTGTGCTGGCATTAGGCCAGCCAGAGGGAGGCCCCGCCTACAACAGCTAGAGACACCAAGCACAGAGGCTTACACCTGTGGGCTCGGCCCACCGGCTCTGACACGGGAGACAGGCATCGCAGACAGGAATCAGGAAACAGATCTTTCCTCCCCCCAGGCACCAGCTCCGCTCCCGTAGGACCCCCAACATCACTCTAGGGGCTGAGCAGCTCCAGAGACTGGAGCTTCTGGGCACTAGTGGGCACCACACAGAAATAGGAAACATCAAAAGAACATGGTTTAGACCAAAATCTCACAAACCCCAGAAAAAGGGTCAAATGAAACTGAACTCACCAATCTGCCTGAAAGAGAGTTCAAAATAAAAATCATAAACATGCTTATGGAGGTACAAAAAAACATTCAAGAACTCAGGAACAAATTTAAGTCAGAGAGTCAATCAGTAAGAAATTCCATATCTGAAATGAAACATACTATGGAGGGATTTAAAAGCAGATTAGATGTAGTAGAAGAGACAATAACTGGAATAGAAATTAGAGAAGAGGAATACAAAGAAGCTGAGGCACAAAGAGAAAAAAGAATCTCTTAAAGAACTGTGCGATGAATCCAAATGGAATAATATTCATATTATAAGGGTACCAGAAGAAGAGAGAGAAAAAGGGATAGAAAGTGTCACTGAGGAGGTAACTGCTGAAAACTTCCCCAATCTGGGAAAACAGACAGTCTCTCAAGCCATGGAGGTGCACAGATCTCCCAACACAAGAGACCCAAGGAAGACAACAGCAAGACATATAATAATTTAAATGGCAAAGATCAAAGCTAAAGACAGACTTTCAAAAGCAGCTATAGAGAGAAAAAAGATCACATACAAAGGAAAACACATAAGGCTATCATCAGACTTCTCAACAGAAATCTTACAGGCCCAAAGGGAGTGGCAAGATATATTTAATGCAATGAAGCAGAAGGGCCTTGAACTGAGAATACTATACCCAGCAAGGTTATCATTTAAATTTAAAAGAGGGATTAAACAATTTTCAGATAAGAAACAGTTGAGGGAATTTACCTCCCACAAACCATCTCTACAGTGCATTTTGGCGGGACTCCTATAGATGGAAATACTCCTAAGGCTAAATAGATGTCACCCAAGGGATAGACAAAGAGTAGAGAATACGATCATAACATACAAAGAATGGAGGAGGAAAAAAAAGGAGGGAAAAAAAAGAGAGAACCTTTAGGTTGTATTTGTAATAGCACACAAAGTGAGTTAAATTAGACTGTTAGATAGGGAATTACCCTTGAACCTTTGGTAACCACTAATCTAAAGTCTGCAATGGCAATAAGTACATATCTATCGATAATCACCCTAAATGTAAATGGTCTGAATGCACCAATCAAAAGATATAAAGTCACTGAATGGATTAAAAAACAAGATCCATCTATACTGCTGCCTACAAGAGACTTACTTCAAACCCAAAGACATACACAGACTGAAAGTAAAGGGATGGAAAAAGATATTTCATGCAACTAACAGGGAGAAAAAAGCAGGAGTTGCAGTACTTGTATCAGACAAAATAGACTTCAAACCAAAGAAAATAACAAGAGACAAAGAAGGACATTACATAATGATAAAGGGGTCTAACCAACAAGAGGATATAACTGTTGTAAATATCTATGCACCCAATACAGGATCACTTACATATGTGAAACAAATACTAACAGAATTAAAGGGGGAAATAGAATGCAATGCATTCATTTTAGGAGACTTCAACACACTACTCACTCCAAAGGACAGATCAACCAGACAGAAAGTAAGTAAAGACAGAGGCACAGAACAATGTATTAGAACAGATGGGCCTAACAGACATCTACAGAACACTCCATCCGAAAGCAACATTCTTCTCAAGTGCACATGGAACATTTTAAAGAATAGATGTTATACTCGGCCACAAAAAGAACCTCAGTAAATTCAAAAAGACTGAAATTGTTCCAACCACTTTCTCAGATCACAAAGGTATGAAACTAGAAATAAATTACACCAAAACAAAAAAGCCCACAAACACAGAGAGGCTTAATAACATGCTCCTAAATAATCAATGGATCAATGGCCAAATAAAAACAGAGGTCAAGCAATATATGGAGACAAATGACAACAATGATTCAACAACACAAAAATCTGTGGGATGCAGCAAAGGCCGTGCTAAGAGGGAAATATATTGCAATACAGGCCTACCTCAGGAAAGAAGAACAATCCCAATGAACAGTCTAAACTCACAATTAATGAAACTAGAAAAGGAAGAACAAATGAGGCCCAAAGTCAGTAGAAGGAGGGACATAATAAAGATTAAAGCAGAAATAGGTAAAATTGAGAAGAATAAAACAATGGAAAAATTAATGAAAGCAGGAGCTGGTTCTTCAAGAAAATAAACAAAACAGATAAACTCCTAGCTAGACTTATCAAGAAAGAAAGAGAGTCTACACACATAAACAGAATCAGAAATGGGAAAGGAAAAATCACTACAGACAACACAGAAATACAAAGAATTATGAGAGAATACTATGAAAAATTAGATAGTAACAAACTAGATAACCTAGAAGAAATGGACAACTTTCTAGAAAATTATAACCTTCCAAGGCTGACCCAGAAAGAAACAGAAAATCTGAATAGACCAATTAGCAGCAAAGAAATTGAATTGGTACTAAAAAAACTACCTAAGAACAAAAACCCTGGACCAGATGGTTTCACTGCTGAATTTTATCAAACATTTAGTGAAGACCTAATACCCATCCTGTTTAAAGTTTTCCAAAAAGTAGAAGAGGAGGGAATACTCCCAAACTCATTCTACGAGGCCAACATCACTCTAATACCAAAAGCAGGCAGACACCACAAAAAAAGAAAATTACAGGCCAATATCCCTGATGAACATAGATGCAAAAATACTCAACAAAACAGTAGCAAACCGAATTCAAAAATACACCAAAAAGATCATCCATCATGATCAAGTGGGATTCATCCCAGGGATGCAAGGATGGTACAACATTCAAAAATCCATCATCATCCATATCAACAAAAAGGACAAAAACTACATGATCACGTCCATAGATGCTGAAAATGCATTCTACAAAATTCAACATCCATTCATGATAAAAAATCTCAACCAAATGGGTATAGAGGGCAAGTACCTCAACATAACAAAGGCCGTATATGACAAACCCACAACCAACATTATACGTAACAGCGAGAAGCTGAAAGCTTTTCCTCTAAGATCGGGAACAAGACAAGGATGCCCACTCTCCCCACTTTTATTCAACATAGTTCTGGAGGTCCTAGCCACGGCAATCACATAACACAAAGAAACAAAAGGCATCTGGATAGGCAAGGAAGAAGTCAAACTGTCCCTGTTTGCAGATGACATGATATTGGTACATAAAAAAACCTGAAGAATCCACTCCAAAACTACTAGAACTAATATGTGAATTCAGCAAAGTTGCAGGATACAAAATTAATACACAGAAATCTGTTGCATTCCTATATACTAATGATGAACTAGCATAAAGAGAAATCAGGAAAACAATTCCATTCACAATTGCATCAAAAAGAATAAAATACTTACGAATAAACCTAACCAAAGAAGTGAAAGACCTATACCCTGAAAACTATGGGACACTCTTAAGAGAAATTAAAGAGGACACTAAAAAATGGAAATTCATCCCATGCTCTTGGTGAGGAAGAATTAATATTGTCAAAATGGCCATCGTGCCTAAAGCAATCTATAGATCCAATGCAATCCCTACAGCATTCTTCAATGAACTAGAGCAAATAGTTCTAAAATTCATATGGAATGTCAAAAGACCCCAAATAGCCAAAGCAATCCTGAAAAAGAAGAATAAAGAGAAGGGAATTACACTCCCTGACTTCAAGCTCTACTACAAAGCCACAGTAATCAAGACAATTTGGTACTGGCACAAGAACAGACCCATAGACCAGTGGAACAGAACAGAGAATCCAGATATAAACTCAAGCATATATGGTCAATTAATATATGATAAAGGAGCCATGAATATACAATGGGGAAATGACAGCCTCTTCAACAGCTAGTGTTGGCAAAACTGGACAGGTACATGTAAAAGAATGAAACTGGATTATTGTCTAACCCCATACACAAAAGTAAACTCAAAGTGGATCAAAGACCTGAATGTAAGTCATGAAACCATAAAACTCTTAGAAAAAAAAATAGGCAAAAATCTCTTGGACATAAACATGAGCAACTTCTTCATAAACTTATCTCCCCAGGCAAGGAAAACAAAAGCAAAAATGAACAAGTGGGACTATATCAAGCTGAAAAGCTTCTGTACAGCAAAGGATACCATCAATAGAACAAAAAGACATCCTACAGTATGGGAGAATATATTCATAAATGACATATCTGATAAGGGGTTGACATCCAAATTATATAAAGAGCTCACGCACCTCAACAAACAAAAAACAAATAAGCCAATTAAAAAATGGGCAGAGGAGCTGAATAGACAGCTCTCTAAAGAAGAAATTCAGATGGCCAACAGGCACATGAAAAGATGCTCCACATCACCAGTCATCAGAGAAATGCAAATTAAAACCACAATGAGATATCACCTCACACCAGTTAGGGATGGCCAACATCCAAAAGACAAACAACAACAAATGTTGGCGAAGATGTAGAGAAAGGGGAACCCTCCTTACACTGCTAGTGGGAATGAAAACACAATGGTTCAACCATTGTGGAAAACAGTATGGAGGTTCCTCAAAAAACTCAAAATAGAAATACCATTTGACCCAGGAATTCCACTTCTAGGAATTTACCCTAAGAATGCAGCAGCCCAGATTGAAAAAGACATATGCACCCCTATGTTTATCGCAGCACTATTTACAATAGCCAAGAAATGGAAGCAACCTAAGTGTCCATCAGTAGATGAATGGATAAAGAAGATGTGGTACATACACACAATGGAATATTACTCAGCCATAAGAAGAAACCAAATCCTACCATTTGCAACAACATGGATGGAGCTAGAGGGTATTATGCTCAGTGAAACAAGCCGGGCAGAGAAAGATAAGTATCAAATGATTTCACTCATCTATGGAGTATAACAAAGCAAAAACTGAAGGAACAAAACAGCAGACACACAGAACCCAAGAATGGACTAACAGTTACCAAAGGGAAAGGGACTGGGGAGGATGGGTGGGAAGGGAGGGATAAGGCGGAAAATGTGGCATTACAATTAGCACATATAATTTAGTGGGGGTGACATGGGAAAGGTGGTATATGCAGAGAAGACAAGTAGTGATTCTATAGCTTCTTACTATGCTGACAGACAGTGACTGTAATGGGGTATGTGGGGGGGGACTTGATAATGGGGGGAGTCTAGTAACCATAATGTTGTTCAAGTAATTATACATTAACGATATCAAAATTAAAAAAAAAATTCATTAATAGGCGAAAGAAGTAAATGTACATGTAATTTACACCACTTTCTCTACTTTCATATATGTCTGAAATTTTTCAAAGAAAAAAACTTTTAATGTAATTGAGAAAAAGCCCATAGGATTACTAAGCTATTTCATGAAAGGAAGGGAAGGAGGGAAGGAGGGAAGCCTGGAAAATGAAATGTGGATCACTTACCTCTTTAAGTTTAGAAGCAAGTTCCTGCCTTTCTTTTGATACCATTGCAATATTTTCATCTAATTCTTGTCTCTGGAAAGAATTAGAAATGTCATCATTAAAATTAGGGATTTAAAAATGCTTTCTAATAGGATGCTTCACATTTCAAAAGGGTGAGCCTCTACTTCTTTTTACTAATGAAAAATTCACTATGCATCCAGTTTGTTTTCTCTTCACCAGGAAAGTCCTAACCCTCTTTCTTTATCACTGCATGCAGAGAACCCGGCAAAGTCATGGCGGCTGCCTCAGCATTCTCTGTGTAGCCAATAGCTGACCGAAGCCTTACACTGATGGTGGCCCCTCATGCACAACCAAGCCCAAAAGAGCACTTGCTGAGTCATAGGCAAATGTAAGCTCCTGACAGGATGTGCCAACAGCCTTGTGTTCAAGTCTTCCCTGCCACCCAGCACCTTCCCCTCACACGCCCCTTAACTGAGACTGCTCCCCATGGGGCTGACCAAATCCTGCTCTTCTGGTTTGAATTTCCCAATCCAGCCTTAGTGTGGGAAGCCCAAAGCTGTCTATTCCCCTGGGATCCTCATAAAGCTGTGTGCCGGGTCCTGTCTCTAGATACGCACTCTGCCTTCACCTCCCCGGTGCTTCCTCAAGGACCTGTGGGTAATAAACTTCTCTATTTCAACTTTTCTTGTGATCTGTTTCTTAATGGGGGGCTCATCATCCAGTATATATATTCTGTGCTCCATTTAAAGTGTTAATTAGATAAATTCTTAACACTGTGTAAGACTTGGTTATGTCCAGTGCATGCATGTATGCTGTTCACGTCTGCTCAGCATTCCACTTGTTCATCATTCCTCCACTAATTTCTAGGTGGTTCAACTGAGGTTATCAATCACCGCAACTATTCCTCTGGCCACAGTGATGAGCATTTAACAGGTTTTCTATTAGCTTGGATGATGGAGCCCAAAGATGCTGGCACTCACTTTCTGGAGAAGAAATGTCTGACACACAGAGGTAGAGAAACACCACCACGTGAGCCTCTGGATGTAGTCATGCTGAAGCTGGTTATTCCCAGATTTCCCAAGTGTATGAGCCAGCTGAATTCCCTTTTTGTCTAACTTAACCTGAACTGAGTTTCTTTAACTTGCAACTGAAAGATCCTTAATGAGTTCAGTAAAGCTTTAACGAGGCAGGCAACAGCAAAACTACACAGCCTGTCAACTCGCATCTGTTTTAGTAAATAAAGCTTTATTGGAACAGGCCACATCAATTTGTTTATGTATTATCTATTGCTGCTCTTGTGCTACAACAGCAGAGCTGTGTAGTTGAGAGAGGCCATGTGGACTGCAGAGTCTAAAACAGTTACTATGTCTCCCTTTCAAAAAAAAGTTTTAACTCCTGATCTAAGGCATACCACTTTTGATACATTTTTATACACAAATGATGTTATTCCTCAAGGAAAGAATGGCATCAAATACACACCTACTAGTTTGTGTACTAATGAGTTGTTCAGAAAATTAATCAAGAAATGTGTAGCTACCTGTATTTCCCTTCCACCTCGACATAAAGCACGCTGGCGGGAAAGTTCGTCCAGCTGATTATCCAGATATTCTTTTCTTCTATGCATCTCCTGAACATGAGAAGGTAAGTCTTTTTCTTAAAAAATAAAAATAAAAAAAGAAGAATTATATGCTAATTCTAACACACACACATATGCATACACAGTGAGAAGAAAACTAGTTCTCAAAGCTAGACTATTTGAGAGTCTCCAGATTTACCTTTAATGCCCAAGCCATTTTCTAACATACAAGAGGAAACAGGAAGAACATGAGTATGCACTTCTTCAATACTCACTCATTCTGCGGTCAACTTGGTTGTCCAAACTGAATTTTAGGACCTCATTATTAATAGACTTTATTGGACCCACACGCACTAAATTTATATCTCCACAGTTTCCTGTTGATAAAAATCACACCTAGAGATTAACAAGGACAATGCCAATCTCTGTACATAATTACCTATTTCTAAGCAAATATATTAACAATCAGAGAAGGGGGCTAACATCTCTGTACATAATTACCTATTTCTAAGCAAATACATTAACAATCAGAGAAGGGGGCTAACATCAGCAGATACCTGAAGCCCCGCTAGAGGCTTCATACACACTGTTATAGATATCCCCCGTAACAAAAACACTGTAAGGCAAGCTCTCATCACTTCTACCTAATAAAGTTAGTGAGGTCACATGAATATAATGCTGTGGAGTTGAGATTCTATTCTAAGTACAGATTCTATTATAAAGGTAAACATTTTTCGAACTATGTTCTGTAAAACATTCCATGGTAAAATAAATTTGGGAAATGATGAGTTAAAATAAAATAGATTTCATAACCACAGGATAGTAAAAAATACATAAAGACTTTTTTATATTAATGCATATTTGGATTTTTAAAACAAATCTTATTTGACCATCAAATCCTTTTCTGCATAATGTTCTGAACAAAGGTTTTGAAACCCTGCTCCACATTACACAGCTACTCCAAAATATAAGGGAGAGACACAAGATAATGGAAATTCTAGAGTATGGTAATCCCAAAAGTTGTAAACATTTAACTGGCTTATTAACCATTTTTATTATTAACCATGTTTTAAGCAAAACATCTTTATTTTAGGTTTTCACATTTTAGATATTATTTAATCTAAAAATCTCCCACTATATCATTGGGCTACATGACAGCAATCAGGCAGTGTACACGTATCCCAACGTGACCCATCCATCACACACTCATTTGTTTATTCTCTCTCTCCTACCAGTGAATCTAAGTCCCATGAGGAAAGAGTTTTGTTCTGGTCACTGCCTAGAAAATGATGGCTAGCATGTAGTAAGTACAGTAAATATATGTTGAATGAATGACTTATTATACAGTTGTCTACTACAACATATTTTTGTTTTGAGTTCAGCTCATTCTTCTAAATTTGAAACCATCTTCTTTGGCCAACATTTACTTGAAACATAAATTTCAAAACTGCTAACTTACTTGTTTCCTCCATCAGAAAGGTAAATGAGAATATCTGACAATTCACCAACTATAAACACCTAGAAATGCTTCACAAATTATAACTGACATCCTTTAAATTGCAGGGTGTGCTCATAGAATGCTAACAGTAATTCCTAGGGGCCGAAAACAAAGCAAAGGCTGAAAATCAAAGTTGAGAGGCGCCAAGCTGTGTGGTTTCCGAGGAGCAGGGTGAGTGGTGAAGGCTGGTTGCTGTCTAGGGGCTTAGGGTTTGTGTTTTGATTTACAGTCAATAAAGTGCAGGGATTTAAACATCTTTAGTTCTGTAGAGTTTGACAGATGTCTACACTGGTAAACTACTATTCCAATCAAGATAAAGAAATTTTCTACTAATGGGGCTTGAATTTTAAAAGCCCACCAGAAAGCAAAAGTGCTTGAGAGAGGAGGAGGGGTTTCAAAGAAGTCAGTCCATTTCACCTGGACTTGGCTGAAAACAATCTGCTCACGGGACCATCTGCCCAGTGGCCTGTGCCCAGTGCATGGAGAGCCTCACTTTAAGACGCAAGGAATGACAGAGATGACCTGACAAAATACAGCTGATATTTTAAGAACAAGACAGAGAACTTTATGCCAACATATTTGAAAATCTAAGATGCAGTGGAAATTTTTCTTGAAAAATATGATTAGGAAAAGTGACTCAAATTTAGAGAATAGTCCACTAACAATTAAAGACATTTAGACAGAAGACAAAAACTAACCTGCCAAAAAATAGACCAAACTACCCTCCTAAAAAAACAAAAAACCGAACAGACTAAAAACAAATTAACCTTCAAGAACAGATATAGACTCTGTGCCTTACACAAAATATTCGAAAGAATAAACAGAAAAATCCTCTCCAACTCCATTTTTAAAGTCTGTGCAACTGCAATACTAAAACTAGACAAAGAAATGATGAAGAAAAATTATGGGCTGGCCCCATTTATGAATACTAATTTAAAAATCCTAAATAAAACATAAGCCATCCAGCAGTGTGCAAAACATGACTAAGTGGTCTTATTCTAAGAATCAAAGATGTTTTAACATTAGAAAAACATTGTAATTTCCTTTTTAACAAATTAAAGAAAAACTTAACAACCATTTAAACAGGTGCAAAAAGAGAATTCATGCAATTACCTCAATGCCTGCTCATTCATGATAAAACTACTGAAAGAGCCCTAAAGGGCAGGTACCAAGACCCAGAATAGAGCATTATATTAATGGTGAGATATCCGAGGCAGTTCCTTAAGGATACCCTAGACCCACTGGAAGTACTGAAAAAGTGAAAATGAAAAGTACTTAAGAAGAAAAAATCTCTGACAGAAGATAACATTTCTCTCTACCCACCACCGCTCCCCCAATTTCAATGCCTCCCTCACCCATTGCTCTGGCCCTGCTATTCAGTGAACACCTAAAAAAGCGCTGGCCCTCAGCAGGTAGGCAGGTTAAACTGCAGGGCTGCAAGGGAGCTGCTCTTGGGCTTGTGAACTGGTACAACCACTTTCGAGAACAATGTGGCACACTCCAGAACACTGAAGAGGCAAAAATCCTCCAACCTAATTCTTTCTCTTTGAGGTATACAAATGCTAGACCAATGTTTTTAAACTTTTTCACCTGTAGTATGACATACACTTCACACAGAAACCTGGTCCAGTCACACCCCTCACCAACGGACCAGGTTTCACAGACCAATACCCAGTCTCATTACATACCCTCTGATCTCTTGTCTCTTCTGTCCTGTTTCACCTTGTTTGAGTATAATGGCTCTGGCCTCCCTACACTGGTTTTTACAATCCACTCACTGGTCACAAGCCACACAAGCACTGCCTAAAGGAGAGCATGACTCCAAAAGTGTCGAGCATGACTCCAAAAGGGTCAGAGCGCAGTGTCTGGTGAGCCCCCTTTCCCGCTGAGGGGTGCACCAGCACGATGCATTTGCACACTGTAGTAATGAACATTTTTCTACCTGCACTGGAAAGCACATGCAAGAACTGAAAGGTTCGCTGCAATAAAGTTTGAAATAACAAAAAAATGGAAAAGAATCTAAGTTTCTATCAACATATAATGAATAAACTGTGCACTCACACAATTACATACCCTTTAGCAGTTCATATACATCTACAGTGCTGTGTACAATCATAAACCTCACAAACAACAGTGAGTGGAAAAGCTGCAGACTGACAAAGTATTTCAAGTTTCAGGAGCAAATGAATTCTGTACATAGGTAATATATATGTAGTAAAAGGAAAAATGTGTGTGATCCCTCAGAATTAAGGTGTCCCAGATCCTCTTGTTAGCTGGGTACGGTGTATGAGTTAAGTTCTGACCAAAAGAAGTATGCAGAGGTGCTCCCGGCAGTGTCTAGAATTTCCTTGACAATATGGCTGCTTTGTTCCCTTGGCCTCTTCCTCATCTTTTCCTCTCACTTGCTGGATGTGATTACTGGAGCTGGAGCAGCCATCTCTGACCATGATGTACACTAGGAATGTAGGCCACATACAGTGAGGCAGTAAGATAAAAGGAGCCTGGGCCTCTGAAGACCCAGAAACCATCATATTGCCAATACCAGTCCTGAACTGCCCATCGCTGGGCTTCGATATAAGAAACTTCTATCATAGGTAAGCCACTGTATTTGGAGTCTCTGTTATTTGTAGCAAATCTAAGCCTAATTGATAAAAGGTACTGTCAAGTAGCCAAGTTTGGTTAGGGAAACCTGAGTGAGTTCAAAAAAGACGAGTTCAGAAAAGCAGTCTAATAGAGCCATAAACACACTGTCAAAATGGGTGGTACAAAAAAAACCCTAAAGACTCCACTCTAAAACTACTAGAACTAATATCTGAATTCAGCAAAGTTGCAGGATACAAAATTAATACACAGAAATCTGTTGCTTTCCTATACACTAACGATGAACTAGCAGGAAAAGAAATCAGGAAAACAATTCCATTCACAACTGCATCAAAAAGAATAAAATACCTAGGAATAAACCTAACCAAGGAAGTGAAAGACCTATACCCTGAAAACTACAAGACACTCTTAAGAGAAATTAAAGAGGGCACTAACAAATGGAAGCTCATCCCATGCTCTTGGCTACAAAGAATAAATATTGTCAAAATGGCCATCCTGCCTAAAGCAATCTAGAGATTCAATGCAATGCCTATCAAAATACCAACAGGATTCTTCAACGAACTGGAACAAATAGTTTTAAAATTCATATGGAACCACAAAAGACCCTGAATAGCTAAAGCAATCCTGGAAGGAAGAATAAAGTGGGGGGATCTCGCTACCCAACTTCAAGCTCTACTACAAAGCCACAGTAATCAAGACAATTTGGTACTGGCACAAGAACAGAACCACAGACCAGTGGAACAGAATAGAGAGTCCAGATATTAACCCAAACATATACAGTCAATTAATATATGATAAAGGAGCCATGGACATACAGTGGGGAAATGACAGCCTCTTCAACAGCTGGTGTTGGCAAAACTGGACAGCTACATGTAAGAGAATGAAACTGGATGACTGTCTAACCCCATACACAACAGTAAATTCGAAATGGATCAAAGACCTGAATGTAAGTCATGAAACCATAAACTCTTAGAAAAAAACATAGGAAAAAATCTCTGGGACATAAACATGAGCGACCTCTCCATGAACATCTCTCTTCAGGCAAGGGAAACAAAAGCAAAAATGAACAAGTGGGACTACATCAAACTGAAAAGCTTCTATACAGCAAAGGATACCACCAATAGAACAAAAAGGCATCCTACAGTATGGGAGAATATATTCATAAATGACATATACGATAAAGGGTTGACATCCAAAATATATAAAGAGCTCACACACCTCAACAAACGAAAAGCAAATAATCCAATCAAAAAATGGTCAGAGGAGATGAACAGATAGTTCTCCAAAGAAGAAATACAGATGGCCAACAGACATATGAAAAGATGCTCCACATCGCTAGTTACCAGAGAAATGCAAATTAAAACCACAATGAGGTATCACCTCACACCAGTAAGGATGGCTACCATCCAAAAGACAGACAACAACAAATGTTGGCGAGGTTGTGGAGAAAGGGGAACCCTCCTACACTGCTGGTGGGAATGTAAATTAGTTCAACCATTGTGGAAAGCAGTATGGAGGTTCCTCAAAAAACTCAAAATAAAAATACCATTTGATCCAGAAATTTCACTTCTAGGAATTTACCCTAAGAATGCAGCAGCCCAGTTTGAAAAAGACAGATGCACCCCTATGTTTATCGCAGCACTATTTACAATAGCCAAGAAATGGAAGCAACCTAAGTGTCCATCAGTAGATGAATGGATAAAGAAGATGTGGTACATATACACAATGGAATATTATTCAGCCATAAGAAGAAAACAAATCCTACCATTTGCAACAACATGGATGGAGCTAGAGGGTATTATGCTCAGTGAAATAAGCCAGGCAGAGAAAGACAAGTACCAAATGATTTCACTCATATGTGGAGTATAAGAACAAAGAAAAACTGAAGGAACAAAACAGCAGCAGAATCACAGAACCCAAGAATGGACTGACAGTTACCAAAGGGAAAGGGACTGGGGAGGATGGGTGGGAAGGGAGGGATAAGGGGTGGGGGGAAAAAGGGGCATTATGATTAGCATGTATAATGTGGGGGGTGGCACGGGGAGGGCTGTGTAACACAGAGAAGACAAGTAGTGATTCTATAGCATCTTACTATGCTGATGGACAGTGACTATAATGGGGTATGTGGGGGGAATTTGGTGATGGGAGAAGTCTAGTAAACATAATGTTCCTCTTGTAATCGTAGATAATATTTAAGATAGGTTCCCTCGAGGAACCCCAAAATTCTGACCAATGGGCCGAAAATGCCTACAGATAAATAAGTCGCAAAACTACCTATCCATTCAGTATATGATTCAAAATGTGAAAAAAAAAAAAGAAAAATGGGTGGTATGAAAATATGTCTTAAGGTTAAGTAAACAAATTATTTTACATATTCCGCCAGGAGTCCTCTATCATTTGTAGTAACGCTCTTCACCAATATATCAATTGTCCTGAAAAAAGTTACCCTTGAGGTGTACCCTCCATCTCTACTCTTCAGTTTCTCCTCCTATAAAACGTAGATAGTAGGGTCACTTAACACTTAGTTCACAGGATTATTCTGAGAACACTGGCACCATAAGCACTCAGTGACCATAAACGATGACTGCTCTAGCCTCTCAGTCACTCAGTATCTGCTAAGCCCCAAATGGGTGTCAGACACTGTTCTAGGCACCAGGGCCACTACAGTGAACAACAACAACAACAAAACACCCTGGCCTTTGTGGAGACTATTATATTCTAGATATACCGAACTATTCAGGGTCCTCTTGCCTCTGGACCTGTTAACTGAGAATAACTTCTGTTACAGCTCTCACCCTTACCATGGCTAACTCCTAACTGCTCTTCAGATTTCATCTTAGACATCATATCCTCTAAAAACCTTCCCCAACTCTCATGAGACTAACTCAAGGACTGCTCCAAAGCATCTGAAAAAACACTCACATTTGACTTCTATTACAAAACTTACACCTTCATAATATAATTTATAATTGCCTACTGATCTACCCCCTTCCACTAGACTGTCTCTTTGAAGGTTTCACTGTTGAAACCTCAGTACTTAGTCCAGCGCCTGGCACACAGTGAATGCTCAGAAATATTTGTTAAGTGAATTAATGAGTGCCGAAGGACCACAGCCCTGAGAACAAGTTACTCCCAGAGTTGGCTTGCTCTCTGCCATTCAGAGTTGCCCACACTCCACACTGAAAACAGAAAAATTAACAGTCCATGTAAGTGTCATACCCAAAGGATTCTTCTTGTCTTTACACTTTTCTTTGAATTCGAGGATGATTTTTTTCATAAGTTCATCCACAGCTGCATTGGAAGGTGCACACACAAGGACTCGGTTTTGTTTGATTTTGGCATTGGAGTTAACATCTGAATGCCCCTTCCTCTGGCTCTATAATTTGCACACACACATACGAAACAAACAAACACAAAATACTGATGAGCTTTGTTATGCAGTTTTATAGGTTTTTCTAGTTCCATGTATGTTTGAGAGCTCCCTTATCAATAGTTAGAAATGAGTAAGAAAATCTACGCCGTACACTGATATTAAAGTTATTCTGGAATAAAAAAATATTGTCATGACTTCTCTGAGCTTTACCTTACTATCCACTTACTTTATAGTACTCAGTCCAACCAAAGGATAGAGTAGGAACACATTCAAGATGGTTTCCTGGCACTACCACGACCCATAATAAAGCCATAAGGCCAGCCTTCTACCCTTAGGGCTAGTTTCACACAAGACAGCCTTTTCTGCCCTTTGCACTTATAACCTTCTCCCTCTCTGCTACCCATCTCTGACACAGTTCCACACAGTATCAAAAAGATACCACAAAGGGAAGGGGAACAGACACCCTAGCACTTATTGACATACATCAGCTAATTCCAGGGAAGGGAAAATAACACCCTCCATCAACAGCACCGATGCCCTTGCCCAGACTCTACCTCTGTCAGGAGGAGATACAGGAGGCCAACAATAGTTTTTGATTTTCCTGTTCCAGGTGGTCCTTCAATCAGACAGATTTTGGCAACCGATGGGGAGTGTCTCACCATGGCATATGCAGTTTCTATTGCTTTCTTTTGGTCTTCATTGAAATCTCTTAAGTAGGCAATCTACACAAAAGACATTAGTGAGAAGGAGTTTTCTTCCTGCAGTGGCACATGAGAGGATGACAATGGAAAACATCTGTTTTGAATTTCTTTAAATATTTATCAGACAGAAACTTTGGTTATGTTCAGGTAAGACCTAAAATGACCTTTAATCTAAGAATCACTTTGACTACTGGAAATAAAGTTACTTGTATGCATGTCTGCAGACTCCAGCCCATCTACAAATACTACAACTGTATTTTTATTTGTGATTCTAATAAAGATGATCATAGTAAATTGTTCAATACTTTTCTTCTATTTGCTCTTTGACTCTTCCCATTTTATAGTAAGTTCTCTCCTTAAGTAAAAACATTCCTAAACTTACTTTCCTAATACAAGTGATACAGTGGAAAGAGCATGGGATTTGCAGTCAAATCTGAGTGGAAACCTGTTTCACTCACAAGCTAGGTCTCAAATCCGCTAGCTCCCTGAGCCTGAGCCTTTGTCATCCATTAAATCTGGGGTTCCTTAAAGGGTGAGAACTGAGATAATGCACATAAAAGCCCTAGCTCACAGCAAGGGTTCCAAAAGCATCACTTTCCTTTTGCCTTTTCCTGTGCTAATTTCCTGGAACTTATTTATAGCTCTCCTAATGAGAAACACATGTTCAACAAAATAACAACTTCATCTCCCCACTTGCAGCAAATTAGTTCTCCATCATTCAAATGGGAAGTAGCTCCACTAAACCTACTCCTGAATTTCAATCACCTAACAAACATTTAAGGAGGAGGCTCATCTAACATTTTAACCTTGCTCTTCAAGCGCACTTCAATTCTTTTTGTCCTGTGCCTTTTTCCTGAGGCAGCTGGCTAGCATCCCGTGGGCGCTGCTGTGTTAGGAACACCAAGCACCAAATCACATTGGTGTGAATGCCGTGTGGCTCTGGTGTACACACAGGAATAGGGAGGAAAGACAACAAGATTCTTTAATATCATGACAGGAAAATTTCTGACTTTCCGTGTTACCATATAATCATCACTCACAATTCTCTCAGATGTTGTAGTTAGTAAATCTTTTGTACAGAAGTCCATGGGGTTTGGATTCAGAACAACTCTGGCCAGCTGACTCCGACCATTCAACAAAGACATGGCTTTCAACTTCCTTTGCGTAGTTAACAGAGAACTGATTACAATGCATTTTACCAGTTCATTTAAATTGACTGCCAAATTATCTTGAGTCTGGATGAAAAGGGAACACTCAGATTTCCCATTACGCACTATTATCAAGAAGGAGAAAAAGCAATTTCAGTTACCAGTAAATAATGGTATCCAGTTAAAAAGGTTATTCAGATTTAGTTATAACTTTGGTTTTCTGTATGATACATTATTTAAATAATTCACTCCATAAATATTTACTGAATGCCTCCTAAGAACCAGGCAATGTTCAGTCCTCAAGAGACTTATTTTCTAAAAGAGGGAGGCAGATGACCAAATAAACATGTCGGGTGGTGGTAAGTGCTATAAAAAAGCAGTGAAAGGGGGGAAGGAAGCAGTGAGGAATATGAGGGAGGTACCACTGTTGATAGGATGGCGTCTGAGCAGAGACCTGAAACAGTAAGTGGGCCCTGCCCTATCTGGGGAAGGAGTGTTCAGGCAGTGAATCAGCAACTGCAAAGAGCATGAGGCAGAGACGTGACTGGAGAGTTTAGGGACTAGGGAGGAGGCAAGCGGCTGGAAGAAGTGGGGAAAAGCATGCTAGAAGATTCTGAATACAGCAGGGCCACTGCAGAGCATGAAGTGACTCTGAATGTTTTCTAAGTCAGGTAGAAAGCCACAGGACAGCTTTGGGTAAGGAAGTGACATGCTGAAGGAGCCACTGCAATGGGAAAAGCACAGAAGCAAAATGGCCACATAGGAGGCCACTGCAGCAACCTAGTAAAAGTAGTGGTAGTGTGGAATGGGATGGAATAGTAGAGATGGAGCTTGGTTTTGCATATACTGCAAAGACTCAGTAGGATTTGCTATTGAATTAGATGTAGGCTATGAAAGAAAAGAAGGATCAAGGATGACAGGTTTTTACCCTCAGCAACTGGAAGGAAGGAAAAATACAGGTGTAGCAGATAGGCAGAAAAGCATGTGTTTTTTTTGGACTAGGTTTGAAACAGATCTTCAAATAGAGATGTCAGGTAGTTGGATGCATAAGGAGTTCGGGAAAGGAGACTCACTCAGAAATATAAATTTGGTAATGTAATCACTTGCAAAAGTCAAAAGTATAGATCAAACTACATATACCTTCTGCTTCTCTTCTAAATTCATTCTACACAAATAATTTGCTGATTACACTTATAAATATGGCACACCAGTTACACTGTAGCATGGTATTGAAGTCCAAGGAGCTTTGCTCTATTAAGATATGATACAAAAAGGTGAAAGAATAATGAAATCACGTTCTCTTCATATAACTCAAACTGAGGAACCAGAATGTTAAGAAAAAAGGCAGCTTGGTATATAATAAAGAATGTGGACTCTGCAGTCAAATAAAAGTAGGTTTCAGTTCTGGACCTATTTTTTAATACTTATGATAACCTTAGGTAAGTTACTTACCATCCCTGAGCCCTGATTTCCTGATGAGCAGGGAACAAGTAATTCTTACTGCTTTTAAGATTTTGGTGAAGATGACAAATGCACCCAGGAAGAAAGACAAGGCACACTGCCTGGCACACAGTGGAACCCCATTAAATTCAACCCAGCATTAAATTCAACATTATTTTTGTTATGCTACTTTAGGGACAGAAATCCCTGCAACACAATGGATGGGAGTGACAGAAATAGCAAACCCTTCAAAAGTTGCCTTACAATGAGTTATACATTTGGTCTTCTCATTAATAATTAGCCACAAAAGGTTGGAATATGATTTAAGATACAACAAATGGTCTGTAAACTGTAATAATGAACACAATGACAGATGAAGGAATGTACCATAAGAAGAGCTCACAAAGCAAGCTTTCAAATCAGAAGTCTGTAGCAATAAATATTGGGCCTTTTCCAAATGAGTCTAGAAAAACTTAGAACTCTGAATGGCCAGTAATCCACCTAGCAAATACATGTCTGGTAAACGTGTAGCTAAAACATCAGTGGTAAAAGCATACTTTACAGGGAAATTAAAAGATGAGTTTATATCTGACAGATTTCTTTTCAATGTATCATTATTTACTTACTGACTGAAGTGCGGCAAAATTTATTAACATAACCACAATGATATTCGTGGGGATCGTGCAGGCAATTTCTCTCTGTATTTTCCATCTCTCCATTTAGTCTTTCAGGAACCAAGAACACCAAATCATTTTCCTTTGGATAAAGCTGTTGAGTTAGTTCACATTCATCAAGATAAACTATGAAACAAGAAGAAGACAGCATTTGCTCTAACAGAATTATTTTAAGTTAAGGTTAATTTAAAGGCTGTTAAACGCTTAGGTTCTAAGTTCAACCAAGTATATGGCACTAGAGGACTTGGTGATGTAAGCTAGTCTACATTTTCAAATATTGATTATACAGTATAAAACTTTTCTTAAATTGATACAGAGCAAAAATAGGTAAAGTCATAATATTCTAAAGGAGCTAATAAATTTCCTGTCCTTGAAGTTTAGTTTTTAATTTTAAAAAATTCTCTTTTGTTCCCCACTTCAAAAATCCCAGGAGAAAATCCAGAAACAGATCCAAGTACACATAAGAATTCTGAGCCTATTGGTGGCATTTCAGACAAGGGGGAAAGGACAGTCATAAACTAAATGGAGCTGGGAAAACAGAGCAGGCACTAGAATAAGAGAGTTCAGTACCAACTACCAAATCCAGTGACCACACACCCAGATGAAGCGTGAGATACTGGGATAGGGCAGACGGAACCACTACATCAACCAGATTTTTAAAACATGGTATGTAAGATATATCTATTTGTAAGCATTAGAGTAGAAACATAACAGTGAAAAAGTACTGTGTTGGATCCAGGAGAATGTGGAAATCCACAGGGATCAGCCCAGTATTTCCCCTAGAAATGTCTTAACTGTTCAGGGAACAGCAGCCCAGAGGTCGAGCAGTACTTGGAACAGCCCTGTTGACCTGAAAAGACAGAAGTTGGAGTCCAGGGCATACCCAGCTGGGGACCCGACAGCCCTCACACTTCAGGCTGGGACAATGAAGAATTACAGCCAAGGATGAAGTAGCGGTAAACTGGCCTTTACATGGGCCACAGCACACCTTCAAGTCACCTGGGAACTTTAGAAAGCTGCATCCCTTCAACTGGATTAGGATGACCCCCTCACTGCCAGTGGCCCCAGATACGAGACAGAAGCAAAGGAACAGCTTCTCTGGAAGATGACAGTATTGTCAAAAGGCCTCAAATTATTTTTATAAATAACTTTCCAAAGACAATGACCAACACACAACAGAGAAAAGCAAAGCATGAGGAGAGAAGAAGAAACACATACTGGTAGAATCAATCAACAAAAAAGGACAGCACAAAGGGCTACAGATACGTCTTTACTGGTTTAAAATACTGGGTTAGAATACATGGCAAAAATAGCAAGTGGGATGGGACAAAGTTAAAGTCTTTAAAGATTTACCTATGTAGACATTTAAAATACCTTTAAAACTAAAGTTGCTGATAAATTAAGGGTGCACATTTTAAGTATTAACCTAACTACTAAATGAGCAAAAGAAGTATTATAAATTGAGGCATAATTTTCAGAGAAGAAAAAAAATGAAGTTTAAAAGTGGAAAAAAAATTTAAAAGTATATAATCAAAACAAAAGGTAATATATTTAATATATAAGTGCATTTGTTTTCAACTGTGATTCATTTTGTTTTGTTAAAATTCACCTTGATTTAATGATTCAGAAGTCTCGTGTGTATGTAGAAAGTATGCTCTAGGCCTATCGGTTTTTTACTTACATGTTTTATTAGGTTATTATGCACTCATTGTCCTATCTTCTGTTGATCTGACATTATCAGTATGAATACTCCCCTTATCTCTAATAACGCTTGTCTTAAGGGTATTTAGTTTGATATTCACAGAGCTAAACAAGTTTCCTTTTAGTTGGGTTTACAAGAGACTCTCTTTCTTTCAACCTTTCTCTATTCTATGTTTACATGTATTACGTGTGAACAGTGTATAGTGAGCCCATATTGTTCCTAAAAGGAACAATTTTCTACTGAAAGATACTAGGGCTACTTAAAAAACTGCAAGTTGAGAGATAAAAAAAAATGTAAATGTTATCAGTCATATCAGATAGGAAGAAAACTCTCAAACACTAGTAGGCACCACCTTGAAGGAACCAATTATAAGGGATTGGAATCAAGTATATTTAAGTCCATCCATTTATAACGTGGTTTTTAAAAAGCTCACAAGTCAACACCAGTGCTTATAGTGCATTAACTCATTACTTAAAAAACTGCTCAGAAGTCAAGTACTTGGTTCTGCCTTTCTTCGTAAAGTATACCAGTGAGTAACCAAACAGCATGGAGAAATTTCTCCTTATACAACTATTCCAGCTGATAAATGAAGACATGATCAAATAAAAATATCACCACTTGAAGGTAATAAATTAATTTAGGCACTAAGCATCAACAGCTGTAAATATTCCAGAAAGGGAAATTAAGACATCATGCACCTCCTGATAAAGGAAAATACCACTACCTATGAAATAGTTTTTGCCAAAAA